CGGAACATATGCTTTTATTAAAGTTAAAAATAAATTTAGGTCACTATCTGAGTAAAATGATAAATATTCCCTGACAGAAGTCAAATGATTTGTGTTTGTCAGCTATAAAACTACATAATCTGAAGTAAGGTTAAGTATGTTACACACACTAAGCAACGATCTCTTTCGCAACTGGTAATGAAAATTAAAATCTTTCGGATTATTCATCAGTATTTAAGAAAGCGAATCTGTAATATAAAAAGAGATTTTATTTAATGGTATATATCTTTAGTTTCTTAGATTTGCGCACATATATTGTGAGTTTAATGATGAACAGTGTGAAAGTCGATATGAACGTTTACATGTAACAAACCATTTGATATAACAACACAAATAAAAACAAATATTAGCCCTTGTTTAAGTGATAGTATGAACATACTGATTAGTACTACTGATTGAAATTTCTTAGTCCTATTTTATGAATACAGTATAATAAGGACGTTTATGCAGAGTAAGAGATATCAGCTACCATATGAACTACAAAGTCGAAGTAGGAAACATCGAGTATGATATCTGTTTATAAAACTGTTATGTGTAAGTCGGTGAGAAACTCAGACGAATTCCTCTAGTATAATAAAAAAACATAATTTTTGAGGGTGCTAGGATTTTTGACATGAATCCTTTAGAGATTTTATCAAGAAACTTTCTATGACCAATCTGTTTCTGATCGGTGTTACTTCTAGTGTAAAAACACGAAAAACTATTCTACTTGGCTAAAGAATTATTTCGACATGGTCCTACAGTTTCTTATTTTGAAAATCTACATCGTCCGAGCATCAATAGCACCTTGGATTAAGCTTATTCAAAAATAATGGGAAACTCACATGCTTAACAAGTTCAAAAGCAATTCATAGACACAACTGAAAAGTCATACAGATTGAAGCTTTAAGACCATCGAGTCTATCCAATAATCTGTTTTTCAAATTAATCCGATTTGATGTTTTTTGAATCATTATCATACCTTATTTCTTTGCTTTTCAACTAAGTAAACCTGCCCTGTGTATCCTCACATTTATTATGGGGTCATCCAGAATAAACTATTCAGATAATATATAAACCCTTGTCAATAATCACCACTTCCTTAAATATCAGTCTGGAATGTATGACCAAAGTGATCATAAGAAAAAAGAATTGTAACCACATTAATTTATAAGACTACATTCTTAGGAGATAATTATCTTCAGGAAAGAAAATTAATTTGAGGGATATAGTAAAACATTTAGCACTGCAATTTATTTATACTCATTCTAAACTATCATATCTTTAGACATTCGTAACTCATACAAAAATCGTCAGAAGTAACTCATCATCTCCATTAACTTTCCACATTTTACTGAATTAACCAAACTGATGAGAACTAAATAATTTCATTTATTAACGGTCAATCATTATTTCAATGAATAGGTAATTGCTTTTCTTATTATTTAGAAGGACATTGAAGTTTATTTATTGTGATTTTACTCAGGTGATTGATGTGTTGGTTTGTTCATATATAAGCAACGAATGAATTAATGACATTGTAGAATATCACTTATTGATCAAACTGGTAGCTAAAAATGAACATTCGTTGAAGAAATACAACTTTGGTTTTTAACGTCAAACAGTTAACATGCTGCTAAACAATTACTGTAATTGGTCCCCGCATACTGACATGATGTAAGTAACCTAAAGAACAAGTACTTTTCAATGTAAGTGGTAAATTTTACATTCAGTTAAGAGTTTCAGCAGGGGTGGATGCTTATGTCTAAGTTCGATAGTTGATGATTCGTAATGGTAGACCACTTACCACTATTCACAAACTATGATTTATTTATTTGTGAATGTATACCTTAGAGATTGAATTCAGAATGCAAAATAATAAAAAAAACAGTATTTTTTCATGTTTTATAAATTTGTAAAATTAATTCCATAAAAGTTTCATTTTTAATTGTAACTTAGTAAACAGTCAATTAGAGAATCAAAGAGAAATATTCATCAACTTTTAGACAAGAAATAAAATATGTACGATAAAGAAACTCAGTGCCTATGTGTGTATAACTTAGGTTGACTGATTTAAGATATAGTGTGGAATGAATATTTCTGTCTCTAATCAATATGTAGTGAACGAGAGCTCAGGTGGGGAGAATAAATTTATTTTTTAGTGCGCAATAGCAAAGTGGCTTAGTAAAGTGTGAGAATCGTACATTAAATACATTAATGAACATCTTCCTTTACTTGTCCTTAACATGCTTCATGATTCTTCCAATTCTGTTTTTATTCTTATTCCTATCTGTTCTCTTCAGCTCAATTTTATTTTGACAAGCATTCCACTTCTGATTGGTTCTACTTACTACTTACATTTGTCAACATAATTAGCATACTCCATAAATGTATTCACTGTGACTAGTTAAATGTCTTCTCTCAGTGAGTGATAGTCAATCGCATCTAGTTAATACGTTAAGTGAAGATGTATTTCGGTGATAGAATGAGAAGTATTGGCCTATGTTTATTTCCGCTAATTGAATCAAACACAGATTAGAACAGTATTTGTTGAAAACTAGTTTCACTTACTTTCTTATGTTACATTCACAACAGCTGTACTCAACATAAGTAGCCAACTTAAAAAGCATAGGTATGAAGCCACTGTGTAAACACAGTTCACATATACTACTTTACAATATCCAGTTCACCCATAGAAAATATTAAGAATATTTTGATCATCAATTCTGTTTTCTTACAAATTATTTGTTCCTGAACTATTAAAAAACTTATGACAATGATGACGATGATGTCTCTGATACAATTTTGTTCTAAATTGTGTCGGTTTAAATTGTTTTGATTGTACCATAATACTTGTAAGGATGGCTCGTTGGCGAACTCTAGGAAGCCTCAAGAAGCCCAGAAAGAGCCGAAGACATTCCATCCAATCACCATTAGGCGAACATTCTAGAGTGTCGACGTGTAGCTTCCCTATTGGATGAATAAGAATGACCCCCTATGTGCCTATTGGCTGTCCGAAATGATGATTTACATTCAGCCAAAAAACTATCAATACATGAGATTTTTGTACTATATTTCGAGACTGTTTTGGGGAATAAAATTCCTACTTACTAGTCTTCTGTCTTCTCTCTTGCGACGTTGCGGGTTCGATCGTTCAAGTAGTCTGGTAGTACGGGGTATAGCGAGAATCCAAGCTCTAGATATAACAATACTTTGACGAGAGAAGTTCTGTAAAACGAAATCTTCGCCGAATCAAAAATAAAGTCCCAGATCATAAATGTTCTAGATATGTTACCAAAGTTTCGAAACTATTAGTTCATTTGTGTGGTTCACAAAATCATATTTCTTATTGTCCTTTGTTTTGAATTGATCTTTAAACATATTTTAAATTTTGTGGTAAATTGTTGGGGATGTAAAATCCCCAGAACTTATTTGGTAAATGACTTATTTTTGTAATTTCATCTTTAAAATTTGAATTTCCTTGTTTTCGCGCCAAAAGCGCTCCATTTTGTAATGCTTCCCAAGGACAACTTTGTACTGTATAAATACGTTTGATTTCCTCCTAGTGTGATTGCTTGTACTTCGGCTGCTTACGGAATATATATTCTTCTACTTCGTCTTGAACTTCTTCCTCTAGTTAGCGGGGCCTGGGACAACTTATTAGATTAGCCTATCGTGTCACTGTCTCATTGACCTTCGTTTGTTTAACGAGAAAATCGTCTCAGCATCAAGTATATCATAAATATTTTTGTAATATAAACCAGTTACTTTAATTCAAAGAAATATGCTTAGATAGTCTGTTGTACTGTATTGTGATAATACAATAAATTAAAATAGCTTCTCCTTGGATTCAAAAGAAACATTTCACAATTGTTGTTGAGCGTTTGGTGTTTAAAAAAAGAGGTGTAAAATATGAAACTAAAATAAAATAGCCTGAAATTTCGTCTAACAGTTTAGTGTGATCCTCTTCAAAATAAAAAGCTTTTTTATAGGATATAAATAAAGTCAAAAAACAAGCATCCAATCAATAGTTGTCTGATCATGTTAAAATATGGAGTACATTTTAATGTCTAAACTGATGTTGAAAATGTTTCATTATCAACAGAGTAGTGCCTATTAAAATCTCTAATATCGAGTAAGACATTTTCAACAATAAAATTCTTCAAAGTAAAACGCAATAGTATGATCTTGCCTAAATGTTCACTTTGTTTAGACAATTACAAACATAAGACTTCCTGATTGACTAGTGTCATATGTTTTTCATACTAGTAATAATCATATCAATATGTTAAGCATTCTCCTTTAAAAGGTGCTCTCCATATGTTGGTATGAAGTGGATCGACAACTTGTTTCCCATAATAATTATCTAGTTTTTGTGCTTAGAAATTGTCAATCAATTTTCTAGTACCAAAATATAATAAGTCACTTAATTCCATTGAAAGTTTAGTACAAAATTTTTTTTAAAAAATAAACAATATTTAAAACAAGTCACAATCAGAATTAACTGTGTTATCTATTTTAATAAATCATCGGAAAGGTTATCAGTATTACTAATTGGATAACAGTAGTGATAGAAAACATAGGATATATGATTATTTATCATCTAATGCCATTATTGGTTAGTTATCTAGAATGTTATTTATTAAATGAAGGAGGGTAAATAAGCTTTGCTTGTTTGTTTTATTTTAAGGACAATTCCCCTTCTTTCGTATTAAAGTTCAAGGATTAAATATCTGACTAAAATAAGATCAAAGAATCGATGTTTTAATGTGACATTAATTTTTTTTATTATTTATTTTATCAATATAAGTACAAATCACTAAGCATAATAAAAGAGCACATAGGTATGTACACTTTCTTGTATTGTCACAAGAATAAACCAATAAGCTGATAAGTAAATAAACAACTATCTTTATACCTGTCTATTTATCGCCCCTTTAAATTTTAAAGTTAATCTCTTATGAGTCAATAAGTAGAATAGTCTACATTTAAACAATATAGTGAAGTATTACTGGGAGAATATTATCATAGATATTTATTATGTTACACTATCTTTTAACCATTGAATATATTCAACTTAATTTATATTAACTATGGTGATAAATATCTTTACTGTATAAACATAGTTTCAATTTGATTTCTATTGGAATATTATAGGAATACAGTGTATTTGATTTTAACTTGTATTTTTATCAATGACTACACAACAGACATTTTTTCGACGAAGACGTTCATCATCTTTGTCAACAATAAATACTAATTATTCAGATGATGAAGATTTTTGGTCTGCATGTTCTTCAAGAAAAACATCAAAAGATTCAGAATATAAGAAAAAAATAAGTTTGTCAGCAGTTCAATCAGCTAATGAATTACATCTTATGAATCCAAATGATATATCAAATGAAATTGAGGTTAGTTAAACTTTGTCTGTATGAATATTTTCTCCAAAAATAATCACGGTAGTATACTGACACGAATATTTACTTTGCGTAAGTGATATCTCTGAGATATTCTTCAACAAGGGAACACACGAAAGGACAAGTATCAATCAAAATGGGTATGATAGACCCGTACAAGGGCGAGTATCATAAAGGCCATTTAATAATCCAGATGTAAATTTTATTTACATTTCTTAACGTTTTAGCACACTTTAATGTCTAAACATACAAACTCAAACTGCGTGCTATTCCACGTAAATATTCTGGCAATGATCTATTTCTATAATCTTATACAATCGGTAAAATGTGCTTTGCTAAGTCATTGTACTTCTTGTTTTCGTACTGTAGCTGGATCCATGGCACAAAATATTCATATTTTAACTCATTTAGCTTTATTCCTTCTTTCTAAGTGTTAGATTGGAGTTCTTCAATTAGTTGACTACTGCCAAAACTGTCGGCGTTGCACAGTACAATTCAAAAAGTAAATCGGTTGAGGCCTCCTTATGTTGCAGATTTCCTATACTGATTGTCTTAAGAGTGATTTGTTATCACTTCTTTCTTCATTTTTTTCACAAGAATAGCGACTCCATTTGACTGTCAAATGTAATTTTAGCATCTCAAGACGGAACAAAAGCAATTGATTGTAACTGATGAATCTGTAAAGCATAATGTTGATCTGTAGTATTACATTGTTGATGGTTTAGTGGTTGCTGTAGCCTCATCTCTATACATTGGCTTAGATGGAACGAATGACTTTGTTGTAATGTATTTGAATGAACTTTTCGAAATACTAATTTGGTTGAATGGTTGCAATCACTTAAAATGATTGATGGATTTAAAGTTAATTTTGGTTTATTTAATTACTTGAGGATGTGCACTAACAAATTTGTACTTTTTTGCTTGTTATATTGATAAACAATAAGTTAACTATATAAAACATCATAGCGTAAACAGTATAGATCTACACAAAGGCGGAGATATTTTGCATATTTCAAAAAGATATCAATGACGAAATCGCCCTAACAATCCCATACTTTTAGTTATAGAAATATAAAAATTAGGTTTTCATCAGATCCCCTATAATGCAGAAGGAAACACCCACTTCTCACAGTCGGCTCGTATTCTGACAGGGGTGTTTATGCATCATCTGAATTTAGATTTGGTAGAGCTGATTGATGGCCATGACAACTTATATGCTCCATCCGCACAAAAGACAGTATTTGAGTTAGCACCCATCCAAAGAACTGGTAGGTGCCGTAGGTTAAATCAAATGCGTTACTTCTGTTCAAGAAGTTCGATCTTTTATTATGCCAACTGCGTATTTCGCGTCTACCTTAGCTTTTACAGAAACATGATTACATTCTGTTAGCTTCTCTTAACTACACTCACATTTCGTCTAACAGCACAACCTACACTTTGTCACACGGTATTTCGTAAATCAAGAATTCTCGTCATTAAATACTTTCTCTTTTCGGAAACAGTAAAATATTAAAACAAATCTTCTTTGTTACTTTTTACGTACTCTAACTCCATTTCAAAAAGGCATAACAAATAAAATTATTTATTTAAAAAATAATACTTACCAGTTCATTCACCTGATTACACTTTCGCTTCAATTAATTAATCTTAATTTGATTAAACATGTATACATTTTCTGTGGCTCATAATCAAATCATTTCAAAACTATATGGTACTTGCTTTTTATATGCCTCCTTTTGATTCTTGTTCTCATGAGTTTCGCCTTATTTGATATTCCCCCTATTGAATCATATCCTTATGATACACGTCCTTTCAACTCATCTTTATCGAAGTAAAGTTACTGTAAAATATCACAAAAAAACCAATAAATGTGATACTTAATTTAATATTTCATGATAAAATTAATCATAGATTTATAGTCTCATACTGCATATGATTTCAAAGAAACTCTGATTCAGAGAGTTTTGTTACATAGTTCCTCTCAATGAAGATAAAAGGCGAATCATATAAGTAATATACAGCACTTATGCACTTAGTGAGTAAATGGTTTTATTTAACTGTCATCTATAAGGTAGCAAGTAACATTTAAAATAACTGAATATATATGATCATATGGTCATGATGTGCATATTGAGCACAAAGTTCAGTCAATCAATACTTCACCATACTAAAATCGGTGTTAAACACTTAAAGGTAACTAGCATCCAAAGATACTTTAACAAGGAGAAAGTGAAATGAGGAGAAATAAGTATTTCATTCTTAATCAAATTCTTCAACATAGTAGTTCTTGAATAAATTGGCTTATTATCATTGTTGGCCCACCTAAAATATCTTACACAGCACGATGGAAATATATAGCATAAAAAACTGACAAAATGCTTTGATCGTGAACGGATACTCCACTAGTTTAAAAATTACTGAAGAATAAAACAAATTAACCAAATAACAAATCAGTGTTTAACTATGCAATTATTAGCTGGCAATATATATACATGTATGATTAAATAACAGCCCATTTATTTAAATTGAATAACTATATATTTGAAATGACATGGCAAATCCATCGTTTATTCGTTAATGATATTTCTGACAGGAATCGTAATTTGTTCAATAATGTAATAGACATAATCGTGTATTCATTTCAATGATCATTTGACTAAACTCAAATGCGTTAGAAAGAATAAACAGCTTACATTCACTCAAAGTTATTTTCAAGTTTCAAACCAATCTAGAGTTTAAAGCTTCCATGTTTATGAGTATCATCGTCATAATAAAAGAAAACAGTTAAATTTGTCTATCGATCCTCTAACTTCATTTTAATGCAAGATTAATAGAATAAAAAAAACCTGAGTTCACAATAGAGTTTCTACAAGTGACTTTTGAGTAACCACCAAACTGTTAAACTGAATTTGTGTCCAGATTAGAATGACAATTATACTTAATTATCACCCTGACACTTGGCAGCTATATCCGAATACTTTTTGAAGAACAAAAATAATCAGGTGGTTGATTTGATTAAGTTCGGCCAGTTGTGTATCCAACATCCATATGAAGAACAAGAGTATGACCTTTTGATTGGAGCGAAACTAAAAACTAGTTAACTTTGAAAATTTATAATCACGTATGGGCGATGATAAATAAGCGAACCTCAAAGTTCCTCACAACGACTTTATTTTCATGATAACTTTAATATTCGCCCCTTCATCCTATATGGTGTGATTGTTAGTTTTATAAACTATCCGTCAGAAAAACCGATATCCAACTATCATTATGATCTGTAGAGCGTAATTTAGTTATCCAAAATGCATGAATTATATTCTACACACGAACACTTTTCAAATTAAAAGTGATTGTTTAGTATGTTATTTGGTTAGAATAAATATATGACCAAGTATTAGAATACTATAAACATTGATAAAGTATCATACGCTCTATTAATAATACCCGCTCAAAAAATTCTAAAACATTTTATTGGAGTATCATTCTTTTTAGCAACAACCAATTATTAGCTCCACAGTTGTAGTTTTATGTGATTCTAACTTAAAACACTATTCTCCTATTATAAGTTATTAAGATGATATCATTTATAATCTAAATTTTCTGAAGTATCCCACACTGAAACAATAGCTAAAACGTAAAAATTGAGTACAGGTCCTAATTAAATTAAGGATATGAGTTATCAAATTGTAGAATAATATTTACCTGTCAATAGCACGAATTTATGATACACGTTCTGGAAAGATAGCATTGAATACGCCATAAAAAGCTAATGCTTAAACACATACTACTACTACGATTGTCTATTATTTCTAAGAAAACAGTAATTGATTTGAACAAGATATATAACTCTTTCAAACAAAGTTCAAGTACAAATTATGGGAAAAAATTAAGAATAAGTCAAAACAATATAGTCCAGATTAAATGTTTATAAAAGCCTCTGATTTATAAATAAATTTTACTCATCAAATCATTTACTTGTAATTCATTCACTACGTTTTCTAAGGTAATACTTGTTATATCTGTGGCCGAGTGGATGACTTGTTGATGTGTGACGCGATAAGACCGTCTAACAGGGATCGGCGAATTGTCGATTGAAACAGCGACACGAAACCCGTACGAGCAGCCTAGAGTGCTAACCGGTCCTGCGATCTGCCTAGCCCAGCCAGTTGAGTCCAGAACACAAATAACAGCCTCAGCAATATGAATCATTATTTACAAACATACTGGGTTTTTATACAAACCAAAGTAATCGATAAACTGATTATAACTCAAGAATCGAATGATCATAAATCAAAGATCAAAACAAAGCTCATGATAAGAGAAAACGAATATGAATAATTTAGTTACGTAACAACTGTACAATAAGAAATAGGCATAATACATTGGTCGATAATAGACCTCAGATTTACCATTCATAATTCACCAGGGGATATAACAATACTCAAGAAATCAGTAAATGATTTCCAGAAATTTTAGACAAAAACTGCAGACTTTGAAGATAGTTTTTATCAGGGACTTGAGTCATTTGGAGAACCACCAAATGCCAACAAGTAATGCACTACTGTCTTGATTTATTGTTTACTCAGCATCACACCATATGAAATCAAAGCGGTTATCATAAGTCTCTCATTGAGTAGGATACATTCAAACCTCAAAACCAATCACCGGGAAATTTGTGATTATTTTGTATTTGAATTTTTTGTGGATATCCCTCCTTAAACTTGCTCAGATACAGTTATTATTGATTCTTCATTTATTATGAATCCATGACAGGAAATATCTAATTAAATTATTAGCTAAGTGTCACCCTACTAAAATACAGAGTTATTAGCATATATACACTTTTCAAAGTTACTAACTTAGAAAAGTATTCACCTATATCAATAGTTTACCTCTTCCATTTCAGTATTCACGTGAAACTTTATACAACTACAATGAATCACACACAGTGAGAGAATCTAGAACAAACTCTTACCAATTCGATAATATTATGTGTCGACGACAATCAGTTAGTTTACCTGGATTTCATGAAGGATTGAATACTGGCAAATTAGTGTCAAGATTAAGTTTAGTTGGCGATGAACTTGAAGAGAATTTAAAGGTAAATATAATATTTTATTATGCATGTTTTTTGAAGAATTATTTTAATAAACATTATGTTGTCAAAACAGATAGAATTTTAAGGTAATAAGTGCTTGTAATGAATTATATTCCACAATCCCTTATATTCTACTAATAAAAAATTTGATTTTTATTAAAATCACCAACCGTTCCATGGATGTCCCATACTGGGACGAAACAGCTGTTCAAGGTCTCCAAGTTTACGATGGTGGTCTAAATTAAATCGATTCATGATTTCAATAAAATTCAACAACTTCCAAAATCATATACTTAGAATGCTTGACAATGTCCTGTTGTAGATTTTAAAGACATTATCATTTAGGCTATTGTACTTGCTACAACACTTTTATTACTACAATGACAGCTTATTTCATCAACATTCTTTTTGACAAAGAGAATGTTAAAGTAACTGTTATAGAAAAAGAATGAATAATTGTGAAATCATGTAAAATGATGAAAATTTGCATCATTTAGATGAAATCCTTCTATTTGTACATCTATAAAGTGTGTATTATCACTCATGAAATTAACCATCTTATATAATTTATACATGGATTTTCATTAATAAAGACTTGAAACTTGATCAACGGAATAGTTTTCTTTAGCTTTTTACTGTCATCGAAAACCATAGTAGGTAAATCAATAGTTTCTATTTAGTACTGAGACCGATAGTACGTTTACGGGAACAGTAGGTAAGATATGAAATGAGTATCGGTAGACTGAATCACAAATCATTTGTAGGTTTCATTTGGTAATGATCATTGTTAAGACAATTGTTATATTTTGTTATTGATTGAATTCAGGATATATGGTTCAACTTTTATGGAATTAACCTTGACGGATGTACCTGCATCTGTGTTGATGTTCATAGGGAGACCTAACACGAGTACCCATTGCTTAAAAAGCATCAGTCACTAGACTGGTGAGTTGTGTTGGTCACTTACTTCTTCAATGGAATGAAGTGATTAGCCACTATCTAAAATATAATCAACAAGTAAATCGAAGCAGAATCGAAGCGTCCATTCAAGAAATTTATGTATCAACAGAGGCTAGTCAGTTCAATAATAAATTAATAATGTTAAACAGTTTGAAATCATTTAAAGACGAATAAAAATCTATTGTTTACTTAATGGACATGGATTGAAAAGATTATATGAACCCCTCCCTCTTCCGTAACTAAACTGAAACTGAATAATATTCTAAGAACAACAAAATTTAAACACCCACGAAGAGATCATTGTAAATAACGTAACTAAGCAACAAAACCGTTATTATGTTTTAAACCCAATAATTTGTATAGTTATAAGTGTGTATCATATTAGCTGTATAATAATCCACTAAAAAGTAACACCATTTCCACTCAATGTTTTCCTTTCAGTTAATTTGTTATCGTTAAATCAACTGTAATGAACAAGTTAAACAGTGACTAGTAAACTCTCAGTCTAGTGGTTGTGAGTTGATTAAAGGTATTTACGAGTTTTACGTTGTATGTGTAGGTAATGATTAAAAAATTAACAGATCAAATTATGAGTAGAGAGATTCTAGAGAGTTTGCAAATATGCTTAAAATATGGATTATTTGATTGTTAATTTAATGCTTATTATTCTTGGTAAATTGATTAAGTGTTACCAAATAATTGAGAATAAGGATAGACAGGAAATCTAACCTTAACAACGAGCGGTATCATTTATAAACAGATTCCTTATGTCGAAGAAATTTACTGATAATCTGATCACCATCGTATCGATCGTAATTAAAATGGTAAAAGCTGGGAAACATTGATCCCAGTACCTGGATTCTTTCACATAAAATGAACGTTAATATTTTTAGCTGTGTATGGAAGACGAACAAACTAAATCACAGAACAAATGAAGTTGATTATAATCAGTAGACAGAAAGTCGATGATGATATCAAATGGATACTTTCTGTTCATTTCATGTCAATTCCAAATTCCTTATTGATATCTATTTACATTAAACCACAAATATCAAGCACTGCTTTTTTTTCACTAGTCAATATGAGACTGGCTATTTGATCAAAACCTTAGAACATAAATAAAAAAATGGGAATACTTAATGAAGAACTTTAATTGAACTACCTTTAATAATTCTTCGAGTTGTTTAAATGAATATTTACTATATAATCCGGTCAATTAAGTGCTTATTTAAATTCATTTAGAAGTTTGTTTTTGTAGTTTCTAATGGTTATGTTAGTTGAAAATAGAAAATAATGAAAGTCAGGTTTCCTATAAAAATGTAAATTTAACTAAACTTACGAATTTACTAGTTAAAAGTAATAAACACTAATTATTCAATGATAAACCATGAATTCAAAATTCAACAGCAATTTAGAACTATTAATAACCTTTTTAATCTAAGAATATATTCAAACAAGTTGGTTTGATCAAAATGTATTGTTCAAAAAAGCTAATCCATGTCAGGTAGAGACAGGTATCTACCCCAGTACAATGGAAGATGGTCGCACAATTTTGTGAATTGGTTGAGGTTAGACATTAACACCGTTGGATGCCAGTTCAGTGGTCTAGAGGTTAGGTGTTCGCACGCGATACCGAAGGCCTTGGGTTCGATTTCCGCGGGTGTGATCGTGGATGCTCGCTGCTGAGGATTCCTACAATAGGACGAAACGGTCGTTCAATGCTTCCAGGTTTTCAATGATAGTCTAACATCAATCATTTCATGATCCCAATCAAAGTATTTTTGTTATTCTTAATAATAAATAATACAATCCAAATGTTTTTACGAATTGAACAATCCTTAGAAATTAATCATTTTATTTTAATCGTAATAAAGATTGAATTTTATTGTCCAACTTAAAACATAGTCAGTTGAAAAAATTGATCAAATATTACAGTACACGTAGTTTTAATATTTGAAAGAAAATGATAGAATCACTAAACAAAAGTTACGCGTAACTTAATACTCTTCAATAAAAAGCATTTGAAATGTCGAAAGGGTCTGATGGTCTTGGTATGATTTAAACCTGTTTCACCTAGTGTCATTATCGAAAATACTACCTTAAAGATAGATAGTCTTATGTACGTTATCTATAGATTTTATTAGGAAGGATTAATACCATCTTATAAGTAATTCTCAATGTGAACTGACTATAATAGAAAAGATTCAATTCCCAAAACTATGCAATACATTTCTTTAAATAAATGAATAAAAAATGGAATATATTTTAATATTCTTCACTTCCTTATAGAGACTTTTACCTGCTAGTATCAATTAATGAATAGAATTATACTTTAATCTAGTTAATTACTTAAACTACCATTATAAATAATGTTAAGTCGTGCTGAAAGTAAACACGGAATCGAAATTGTTGATAAAACATTTAAACACACACATAAACATATTGGTGAACGTATACATGGGCAACATTGTACTTCATGCTAATTAACTGTTTAAGTAATCTGAACAATTTGACAAATTTTGATGTTGTTTCTAAATCTAGAGTATGCGGATGTTAACAGAAATCACTACAGATGAAGGTCTAAATAAGAACGAATTTACATCTATATCAGCTATCTGCACAGGAAAACAAAGTTTACAAGATATAATATTAGGGCTTACGATGATAGTATTTTGAAAAACATATGGAATATTAATTGAAAAGAACAGATAAAAGTGAAAAAGAACATTAAGTAATAGAAATAAAGCTAAATATAAAGAGAAAGATGAAGAATGAAAATATCTGAGCTACTGTGACTGATTTTGAAGTGCGTTACACAAGTTCTTTAACTACAAAAGACCATCAGTGATTGGACTTCAACCGAGAGGTTTGTGTCTTCTCATCTGGCTCAAACCAACAATCAGTGGAGTCACCAATTGGTGCCACGTTTTAGTTTGACCACCATTGGTTAACTTATAATCTACTCTTAGATATCAGCACATCCAGAGGTAGAGATTCAGTGGGCATATATAACACATGTCCTAACCATGTTACTGGATGAAGGTATCCTATACCTAAGTATCCTACCCTATCCCAGGTTCAGTCACTCTACGGTTTCACCATTTGTGAGCAAAGAATTGAAAACATCTAAAAATGAATGCTGGTCCGTAATCCAAATTCATTCATTTATTGATTCTTGTTGTAATAACTGTGTAGTTTAGATGGAAACTTAGGGAACTAGCAAAACTAGAATAATGTATCTCAAAAGGTTCTGGAAAATTAACTCAAAAGATACAACGTAGTCGGTTAATTTAGAGGACAAAATTTATTTTTCATAGCAACACTGTACTGGAAAAATCTTAAATATTCCCGATTACAATTTAAATTTCACTGGAAATAATAAAATATAAATATCCTTCAGTAGCGACAAACAGCTGCTTATGTAGTGAACGAAGAACTCAGGTAGAGAAGATGAATTAACTGTTCAATGCAAACTTACTGAATGTCTTCGTAAAATACGAAAACCATACATTAAATACATTGTTTGAACATCTTCCTTCAGTTGTCCCTTACATACTTCATGATTCTTCCAATTCTGTTTTTATCCATTTCCTTTGTGTTCTCTTCAGCTCAATCTTCTCAATCTTCTTTTGACAAGCATTTCACTTCCGACTGGTGTTACATATTATTTACATCTGTCAACATAGATAGCATGCACCACATTTAAACTAGATTGATTTACATCTTTAATGCAATGGTTCAGACTACCAAATACTTTGTTTTATATCAATAACTCATATACGAAGAACACTCTTAATATTTTCCCAAGTTGTGGGGTATGGATTTTGACAGGTTCTAACGATAGTGAATGCTAAGTTTCCAATACTTTACTCTAATGGTTATTTACAATCAAAATTATCACAGTTAAGAGAAAAAAGACGGTTGGTCTGTATGAACAACTACGTTTGTGAGAAGACAGATTTTGACAGAAAAGACATTATTAAATGTTGAGTAAAACATCAAGTATTGTGAATGTTTGACAGTGTGTCTTCAGATCCACGTAAATTGACAAAGCCAACAAATGTTTTACAATGTCAGGATTAGTGTCTATTTTGGAAACTTATTTATCGCTACTATTAGATATGGTTCAACTCCAACTGTTACGGCTTCCTGTATATTCGAGTTCCGGATGCTGGGTTGTGGATGTGTACTTTTGAGTAGTCTCATACTCGAACGAAACGGCTTTCCAGTTCTCACAAGTTTTCACTGTTGGTCTATAAAAAACCAGTATATGTTTGAAACTTAAAAAATTTTATTTTAAAAATTAAATTGCTCATTTTCAGTCACTGAAAACCAATTACAGCAAGAAAATTCATCCAATTTATGTAAAGAATCATTTTAAACTATTATTGTCATCTTTTTTATACTTTTTTTCTATCTACTTTTATACTCTTTTGGATTTTCTAGAATGTTAGAATCTCAAATGAGATAAGCAGCAAAAGAAGATGGACTATTTTTGATTGTTCAACATCAAAACCAGAATGATACTAATGATAATAATCTACTTTATAAACAATGAAGATTTGAATATAACGTCAGTAACTGAATCACTCTGTGTATGCATAACTTTATTGAACTGTCTTTCATATAAACTGTATTTTAAATTAACTTTATTCGTGCACAATAATGTAAAAAGGGAACTAATGAATCATTTGTATTCTTCCATGCTCACAAAATATACTCCATTCTATCAGTAATAAATCTAATATACTTTTTTTATTAAGCTTTAACCATAACAATATGAACAAACTTATCAATTATGTCCTGTATAAAGTCAAATAGTTAATAATAAGTAATGAATATTGTACTTTCCTCAAAAAAATCGTTTTCAGTATGAGAAAACTTTACAAACGAAACATTTTTTTAAAAATTCACTTGGTATTGCTTGTTCGAATCTTCCCATTGATGTTTAGAACTGTAATTGATCAATCTCTTATTGGCATATGTGCATACTGCGTGTATTGCCTCGATATAGCCTTAATTCACAAGTATTATTAGCAAAGATGGATGGTAGCTAACAGTGGAATCCAGGACGCGCGCTTCATCCTATTTGACACTCGTCAGCTGGATGTACCTATATCCCGGAGTTGATGTTCGCTACGAAACTCGAAGACAGAACGATCGATTCAAAAGTAATCATGTTATCCTTTTGGCCACTGAGTCCTGAATATTTATTTATTTATCACCATTAAGATATTTTTAACGGTTTACCTTTGAAACGAATAAGTAATCAAACTAATTTGCTTAAAATATTACTGATAAACTTATGTCTAGTTGAAAAGCAGTATGATATTACAGTGAGATGATGCATTTCGACTTAAGAATACATGAATATTCTAAGTATTAAAGTTCATTGATTACGGTGTGTTTGAAATCCATCCAAAACAAAAAAACATTATTGTCAATATAAAAAAATAATTTAATCAGGGAGTATTTTATTTTCAGAAGAGGTTTTGTGGAGATTTAGTATTTTCATAGTTGAAAGCGTGAGTCAATTGAAGCTAGACCACCAGGCTCTGTGGTCTATCGGTTAAGTGCTCTGACGTGAGACTAGTGGGTCCTGAGTTTGAGTCTCGCGAGGCGCAATCGTAGATGCGCACTTCTGAGGAGTCCCACAATAGGACGAAACGGCCGTCCGGTGATTCCAGGTTTTCCCTGGTGGGTCTAGCTTCAAATGTCTCACGCTTTCAACTATGAAATTATTTCATTTATCATTACTATTATTGCAAATTACTTGTAAGAATATAAATTTTTATAAATAAACATTCTTATATTTACTGTATATTACTGTAAACATAAGTGTATAATTATCTTTAATCATTGTAAACTTATTAATATTCTTGATATGTTTCAGATACCTGCTTTCTTGAAATGAAGCAATTGTTATTTTTTAAGTTAATCAGGTTTATGGAGATTAGTTTCATTTCAGTATACCTTATATCTTCCCGTACTTCTTTGAATTCCATGGCTATTCAATTGATGCCAGTTAGTGAAAAATGAAACTTGAACTGATCTCCATAAACCCACTTACACATAGTCACCAGTAATTAACTAAAAGATTAGTTACTGAAGTTGCAGTGAGGAGCGATGACTAAAAAGGTGTGATTACATCAAGTGAGAGACGATTACTTACTGATGATATCAAATATTTTTCACGCTCAATCACGAAACAACTAGAACCGAAAATATAAACTTTTAAAATTTATTACCAACACACACTTGCTATCATACCTAAAGGTCTTGAATTCGATCCCTAATCTTTTTATATTTCTGTATGGCTAAATAGTCTAAAACTATGGTAAAATGTCCAGTCAGTATTTTCAAGTGTCCAATGCTATTCCAACTAATGTTAGCTCATAATGCAAGCTATCTCCACATTGTATTGGTAGTTGTGTTTTTTTATTATAGCATATGATTGAATAAGATATCTTGTAAGCCTTTCTATATTCGACATACTAACTGCTAAAAGTATCCTTAAATACTAAAACTGTTGATTAGTTTTGTATTTCATCTCTGTGAAACATTTTTTCGGTTTAACAATTGAAAAAAAGGTGTCCAGAAGTACAAAACATCATTGTAAACTTTTTTTTTGTTATTGTTCATTTTACTGACAGAAAACCTTTAAAATATTTGAAAAAATATTACGATTACAGTGACTATCAGTTTCTAACGGGATCTATCAACTTTCCAATGAAGACTAAAGTCAGTTCTTTCATTTAAAACTTTTAAATTACAACTTTACACTATACAAACCTTTAAAATTTCCCAAAAAAGAAATTGATTAAAATTATAATGTTCTATTATGAAAACTAGGTCAACATGTTATATCTTCCTTATGACCTTAAAATTAATCAATATAGTTTTGAGGGAAATTACAAGAATGAGTTACATTGATTTCAATGAGAATAAACATAAATAGATCCGATTCAAATGATTTTAGGCATGAAGAATTTTGTATAAAAGTAGATATATTCAGTGAAACTAATGACTTGTTTTTAGATTTCCCTACAGAAATATAAAGGTGGTTTAGAACTAGAACAAATATCATCTAGAAAATATTATTTACTGACTCCTAACAGATCGTCCTAAAATATATCATCCTATATCTTATATACTGTTGATACTAACAAAGTAATCAAATTCTAGCTCACTTAAACCCACAGGAAATAACCTGTTTCATATTTTTTTTAAGTTGATCAGATAATTACCTAGGTTTAAAATGATTTTATTCAAGACTACGAAAAATCCGCACCTATATAAACATTTAACTAAAAGACTTTCAAGGGCATGAGTACTATCATATAAAACAGGCATATATTTTACACTAGGAGATTTATAACAGGAATAATTTCCATATAAACACTTTAAAATGACATAAAATCAAAAGACAGATCACATAAATTTTTTAACTTTGATATGAATAAACAAAACAGATCATTTTACTGTTAACTGGAAATACTTCTTTTGAAAGAAGAAATGTGTCACATCAGTATGTATACTGTAAAGAGTATTTGTTTACCTTGTATGATTAGTTAAATAGAAAGTTAACATAACTAAAATGACATTTGAATATATATATATATATCCAATCATAAATACAATCAACTTGAGATGATTATTATAGTATATATATATATAAAATAAATTATATATTACTCCTAGTTGAATCAAATTTTAGTTACCCTTCTTAGAGAGACAATATGATATTGTCATATTTTAGGATGAATTATATTTTTTAAAAATAAACAATAAATCATGTGAATAAATAAAAAAAGTTGATATTTTATTGTCACTTGGTTAAGATTCAATGATATTTTCCCTTAGATACTAATTTTTAAAAAAAAGGAACAAATAATAATTTTTGAAAGATTGCTCGATGTTGGCTCTATGTCCCATCTGAACTAAATGGGCTAAAATAGAGCTGTTAATGTTAAGTCGGCTTCCAGAGAACTCCAACAGAGCCTCCAGAGGCTCAAAAAGAGCCCCAACCAATCAGAGTATGACAGAACATTCTGGAGTTCCAACGTGGCATGCTACTATTGGTCAGTAGCAATATATGTCGTTAAGTGGATTAGCTAAATTAGGATGTTGATTTAACTTAAGCAAACATTTATAAATACCTACGATTTTCTGTACAAAAACTAACCTTGCAGTAAAGTGTTTTCTCTCATACTTGAGTCTTCTCCCTGGTGTTCAAGTCGCTGAGTAGTTCTAGCCTGGGGTTATCAGAATAGCTTAGGATCTGAATATAGCGTTCAACTTACAAGACGTATCAGTTAACCGTTTTGACTACACCTTTGCTTAATGATTTTTTTCCTGTAAAGAGTAAAATCTTTTAAATATCAGCTATTTTAATAGAGACTTTATCATTAATCACTATATTGATTTACCCTATTTAAACAATAGAAGAGTACTTTGCAGAATTATCTTAAATAGGATTATCTCTAGTTTATCAAACTATATGAATGAATCAACTTGTTAATATGTAATTTAAATAACAAGTTTAAATGTCCAAGTTGACAGTTTAACATGAGAACGAATCTTGAATTTGTTTAATCATAGTAAATCATGTTGACAAACAGAAGTATTAACCGTAAATATAATGTTAGTTTTCAGTTGGGAGCAAGTAGAATATTGTTTATTACTGTAAAGAATCAACTTTCATCTATTCAAATGTATTCGTATCAACCAATGAATTATAAAAACTATCAATTTAAATATTTTACTTCTTAAGGATAAAATGTCTACAATGTTGATTTATTGAATAAAGAACACTATGAGTTGTAAATTGTAAAAATCTCGAACCGTCCATTTAATCTAGACATTTACGATGACTTAATAGTCATTTTTAATTTATATATTTTCATTATTGCACTGAACACTCGGAGCTTAAATACAGTATCATTCATTTGAAATGTCATCGTGTTATTCATTTAGCAACTGAGTCTAAGTGGCCATGCATTGGTGTAGCGGGTATGAGTTTTAATTCAATTTGAAATAGTTTAGATTATCCCATTACTGTTATTTTGACAGAAATGTGATCAGTCTTGAATCTTGTGCGAATGTCTCGACATGGTCATCATAACATAAGTCAATATAGAATAGATTGAATGTGGCCAACCAAGACTGATCAAACTTCATCGACAGTATCAATAACGAGATAATCCAAAACATTTCAGTTTGAATAATGCCCACTTGATTTGTATTGTACAGAAGAGTAAATACCTAACATATTACTGTAATAAAACTCCTAGACGGTCTATATTGCTTAAATTCCAATGTAAACTCATTACGATGAACTGTAGTTTAGGTAACCAATAGATGTTAATCAACTGAATATACTATATATATATATATATATATATATATATATATATATATATATATATATATAGTATACCATATGACTAATTCAAAACAATAATAAACATTTTCATGCACGATGAGATCGTGAAGAAAACTAAATTAGTATTCATGAAGTTAACTAGCATCGACGAATGAACTTTCAGATTTGAAAAAAAACTAATTAGATACTGATGGATTGATCAAATATATTCTACTTTCAATGAGCAAACTTCTCTAGCGAATCATTTCATGATACACGAAGAGCTCAGTAGTAGCGTCTCTGATCGACATTGGATGATGTGGACTCAAATTACACTGGATGTAACCATTCCTTCAAGATTGCTAATATGCCTTGATGATGAGTTCCGACTAGCACTTAGTTAGATTAAGAGATTCTGATCAAATTTCTCCAACCTATCAATCTTTCAAGAAGTTTTAAACAACGCAACATTTTTACACACAAAATAT